ATAACTGATCTAGTCCTTTGAGGAAGAACTAGTCACATAGAGGAAAGATTCGCTCCATGTAAAAACAATTACATGATTATTAACTAATTTATTTTCTTTCTATAATTAATTTTTAACCACCACTTGCTATACTAATTTATTTTCTTTCCATGGTTAATTTTTAACCACCACTTGCTATGCTGACTACTGTTGAAGTTTTAAACTGCAGCAAAAATTGAAATAAATATGCAGCAGTTGAAAAAGTTACTAACCCTTTCAAGGTATCTGTGACCCTCCTGGAACATGGAACAAACCAAGCTGCGTATTAAACAAACTTGAATGGCGAACAAAACATAATTGAACCACATCAATTTTTAATCAAACTTAAAAATGACCAATCTTATAACAAAAGTTTTCATAACTTGAAACAACAGCTTTAGAGATGGACATTCCACGGGATATTACTCAAATTATAGAAATTAATTCTTCGACCAACTTACAAATAGACTTTTTATATCTAGAATACCAAGAGAAGACTTTGCAGTGACTTACTTACCAAGAGAAGACTTTGCATTAGTGTATGGACAATTTAGCCCTTTGGAAAAGAGTTCGTAGTCTAATTGAAAATTCAGTTTAGGAAAGAATCTCTCCGTATAAAAGTAATTACTATTATTTATTTATAATCTACAACAAAGATTCTCTCAATGTGAAACAACAGCGATAGAGAGGAAAACTCCACATGATATTATTCAAACTCGACAAAAGGGCTAAAGAAATTGATTTTTTCAACGAACTTACAAATAGATTTTTTACGTCTAGTTTACGCGTTAATTTCCATGGACTTGCCAATGTGAGAATTTGCAAGTTGTATAAATATCTCTTATTGAAATATGTTTTATACCATTATTGGACTTCTATTCTCTTACTACGTACAATACAAATACAACCAAGGAAAAATTGCAATCTAAAAGTCTCAATGGCCATTGGATTGCATTTTCTGAAAACCCAATTCATTCGGGCAATTCTGCTTATATTTTTCTCAATATCAATATCAAGTTCCACCCAAGATGTAAATTTCCCAATAGCAAAGCCCAACTGTATTGATCGTTGTGGAAATTTAAGTATTCCCTTCCCTTTTGGCACAACAGAAGACTGTTACCTCAGTAAGAGTTTCTTCGTCACTTGTAATGACACCCACTACAATCCTCCCAAAGCATTCTTACAACACTCAGCCATAAATATCACGAGCATATCCCTGGAGGGCCAATTGCGAGTCTTGCAATTCATTGCAAAACGCTGTTATTCTCCNGGATAACGATTCCCAACATGACGGTCAATAATACTGCGAATAAGTTCACTGTCGTTGGTTGTGATACAAGGGGTTTTGTATCTGGGAAACGGGCAAACAGGAATTACACCACAGGGTGCAGTTCCCTTTGTGCCAGCGAGGAGGATCTGGTGAACGGCTCTTGTTCTGGTGTCGGCTGTTGCCAGACGTCTATCCCCAAAAATGTCTGGAGAGTTCAGATGAGCTTGGGGAGCTTTCATCAATACAAGAACTATGATAATCGCAGAAGTACGTGGGTCTTCAATTCTTGCAGCTATGCATTTGTTGTTGAGGAAACATCTTTCAGTTTTTCTCCGAGCAATCTTTCCCTCCTGAGTGATGTAACGAGGCTTCCTATGGTGCTTGACTGGGCAATTGGGAATGGAACATGTGAGGATGCTAAAAAGAACCTCTCCAGTTATGCATGTAAAAGCGAAAACTCAGAGTGTCTCAAACCCAACAATGGTGATGGATATCGCTGCAATTGCCTGAAAGGTTATCGAGGAAATCCATACCTCCTTGATGGTTGTCAAGGTATGGTTGGGTTGAATTTTTCCCTATGTATTATCCTGAAATACGAACATATCACTCTCTTTCTCAATGGTCTAGCATCATGTTTTTCACAATGAATTGATCAGTACATTTCTTTCTTATTATTTTGTTGATGCAGATATTGATGAATGTCAAGATCCAAGTCTCAACGATTGTGAAAAGGACCGCTGTGTAAATACAGTAGGAAATTTTCAGTGTGTCTGCCCGAAAGGTTACCAAGGCGAAGGGAAAACAGGTGGACGAGGTTGTGTTCGCATTCGTGGTGAATCAATTACCTGGAAACTTGTTGCAGGTCAGTAAGACTGTTCCATAGGTTGTGTTAACCGATTTTTCCATTTTTTTTCTTAAGGGTTAGCCTGTCAACAGAACTTTAGGAATAGTTCACATATAATTTGTACCCCATTCATCAACAAAACAGTAGAGATAGAAGCTAAAATCTATTATATTCGTCCTTTGAAACTTTTAATGACAGGGATTGCTATAGGAGTCAGTGTTCTTCTGCTTGCTTCCTGTTTGTTATACTTGGAACTCAATAGAAGAAAGTTGGTGAGGATGAAGCAGAAATTTTTTCTTCAAAATGGAGGATTATTGTTGCAAGAACGACTCACTAGAAGAGAGAGGTCACCAGATCATACAAAAATATTCACTTCTGAAGAGCTCAAGAAGGCAACAAACAACTTCCACGACAGTAGGATTATAGGACAAGGAGGCTTTGGCACTGTATACAAAGGCTTCTTATCAGATAATAGAACAGTTGCAATCAAGAAGTCCAAAGAAGTTGATCCAAACCAAGTCGAGCAATTTATCAATGAGGTGATTGTTCTTTCTCAAATCAACCACAAGAATGTTGTCAGGCTCCTTGGTTGTTGTTTAGAGACCCAAGTTCCTCTTCTAGTTTATGAATTCATCAACAATGGCACCCTTTTTGAACATATAAACAATGAAATAAAGGCACGAACTCTTTCTTGGGACAGACGCTTAACTATAGCTTCAGAAGCTGCTGGTGTGCTTGCGTATTTGCACTCTGCAGCTTCACCTCCAATCATACACCGAGATGTCAAATCTGCAAATATACTTTTAGACACTACTTTCACAGCAAAAGTGTCTGATTTTGGAGCATCAAGATTGGTTCCGCTAGACCAAACTCAATTATCTACTATGGTGCAAGGAACATTTGGATATTTAGACCCTGAATACATGCAAACGAACCAACTCACTGAGAAAAGTGATGTATATAGCTTTGGTGTAGTCCTTGTGGAGCTATTAACAGGAGAAAAGGCTTTGAGCTACGACAGACCAGAGGAGGAGAGAAATTTAGCTAGTTATTTTCTTTCTACACTTAAGCAAGGCCACTTATTCNTACACTTAAGCAAGGCCACTTATTCAAAATTCTTGATGATAATATCGTAAGTGAAGGAAATAGTGAGCAGTTAGTAGCAGTTGCTATGCTTGCGAAAAGGTGTTTATACGTGAGAGGAGAGGATAGACCTTGTATGAAGGAAATAGCTATGGAACTTGAAGGTCTGAAACTATCAGCAAAACACTCATGGGCACAAAATGAATCCAACACAGAAGAGATGGAATCCCTTCTTTCTGTGGAACTTAATACCTTTTCCAGTGTTGACGGCCATAGCAATGGTATTGTGTATGATAGCATGAGGAATGATATAATTCTACCAATGGGTGGTGGAAGGTGATAGGAGGATGACAAATACTTTGTGCTTAAATTGGATTTCTTCCTTGTTCTACCAATTTGTCCTTTTAAGTGGTCGAAGTTTGAATTTTTCGCTCCTGTATATAACACACTTGGCAGAAATAATAAGTCATTTATAATAGTCTAATCATACATTCCAATGGATCTACAAGTACTATCCATTACTCATCCCATAGTAGGTCTGATTGCAGGCTTGAAGACAGGTCGTTCTAGGCTCAATGAACTGGTTTGTTCAAATGGGCTGAAAAAAGAATTAAAATGAGAGCAATAGCTCTAGACTTCCCACGATTCTCACAATACTTTATATTCTCCCACAAATATTTTCTACTCACTTCATGTTCAATTTTATGACCTATCATGCCAGGTGTTAAACACCAATAGTTGTACATAGCATTGTTCTTTTAGATAAAAATGGATCCACAAATTACAACTACATGTGCTATTTTTTCAAATGCATCTTCCACCGTTGAACCATACATTTCCGCACAAGAACTCATGGAAAATGGGCTAGAATCTGAAACCTCTCCTTTATTTTTTTTCTTTTTTGTAAATGATCAATTACTTAAATAAACAGCTTGCATTTTGGGCATGTTGTAAAAGCTTAATATTTACAGCGTAATTCTAAAGCATGTCGTACATATTGATAAAAAAATATTTATGAATTTTTCTTTTTTAAAAAAATAAATTATTTACGGCATACATGTTGCACGCCATTACAGTGTTTAAAAAAAAAAGGAAGGAGCAGCTGGATTTTTTACTGCATACATAATTGCACGCCGTAAAAGTGCAAGAAAAGAAAAGGAGAAATTTCTTACGACATATGTTGGCATGCTGTAAAAAATGTAAGATGAAAATGTTAAAGTACCTACTAAATAGATGGATCTATTTTTCATTTAAATGAAAATAAGGCTATAATTTTTTAACCAAAATGACTAATTGCTTGCTAAATAAAAATAAAAATTGCAGCTTATTAGAGATCAACCACCCTCCTTAGCGGCCTAGAAATGGTGCCTGAATGCTTGGTATCCTGCCTTGAAATTATTAATCTACTACTGTTTGAGGGTAAGACACGTGAGATGGAGATGGTGACGTATTTGTTGGCTAATGCTCGAGTTCTAAAGGAGCTAAGGATCTTAACGTTGAATATCACACCGGAACTAAAACTGGAGATTCACAAACAATTGCTAGAGCTTCCAAGGGGTTCAACAAATTGTGTAGTTCATTTGACGTGAGTTTCTAGGTATTTCAGAGAACATCTATGAGTCTCCTCTGTTCTTAGTATATATTCAGATGTGGCTCCTTCGTTATGGTAAATCATGTCATGGAAATACTGGTTGCAAGTTGCTGTTTTATTTGAGGATAAGAATTCATTTTGGTATGTTATTATTTGATTTTCTTTTGTTCAAGCAATTGTACTTGTAAAGGCAAATTCACAATGGAAGCACAAGAACACAACTACAGAGAAGACATTGCACAATCAAGAAACGAATCCTTTATTTCATCGAGGGCTCAGAAACATTCATTGTACCCTTCTGTACACAGATACGGCAATGGCAAAAACATGTGGAAATTACATCATCCCCTACTTTTGGAGATTCAAATTCTAAAATCAGATTTCATGTTTTAAGTTTCAAAAATCAGATATTTTATATATAGATACAAATCTTTTATATTTAATTAAA